AAGCATCACTATTGACAAAAGGAGCTGCCTGATTTTCAGTTTTTGAGATGGACAGATTTCTAGAGTAAAGCCACACAGTTCCTACAAAGTAGATTGGAGTTTCTCAGAAGAGAACAAACTATTGTAGTGAGGATAGCCCCAAATTTAGTCCCCATTCCTGATGGATTAGGTTTTACCAGTAGATTATTAATGACCTCAACAGAATCTGAACATTTTATTCAGGTTCAATTTTTATAAGACGAAAGTTTGGAATTAATATGTAAAGAACATTTTAGATGAGAAAATATCTGTAGAAGGAAATCTACCCCCTGAAGTGTTTAAAGCTGTAAGACTGTTGTCAATAGGATTAGATCATGGGGTAGGGCAACAGAACCAACATTCAGTTGAATTCTGAGAAGTAGAAAGGTCTGAAAAAATACATACCAGTTTGTTGTTGTTGTTGTTGTTTGTTTGGTTTTGGTCTTAAATATCAAAAGACCATAGGAGTCAAAATTAACCGAATAGTTGGGCATGGTGGTGCAGTCCTGTAATCCCAGCACTTTGGGAGGCTGAGGCAGGAGGATAGGAAGTTCAAAACTAGCCTCAGCAATTTAGTGAGGCCATAAGCAACTTAGGAAGACACTGACTCTAAATAAAAAATAAAAAGAGCTGGGATGTGGTTCAGTGGTTAAGTACCCCTGGGTTCAATCCCTGATACCCCCCCCAAAAAAAAAAGAAAAAGAAAAAGAAAAAGAAAGAAAGAAAGAAAGAAAAAAGTAACAGGATGAAGATAAGGAAAATAATACTTTAAAAATTTTAATTAAAGCATTAAATATATACTAGGCAATATAAGTAAAAGAAAAAGTTTCTGCTGTCTTCAATGGGAGAAAGTTATGTATGTTTTCTCAGTTGGAAAACACAAATCCAATAAAACATGGAGTATCAGTTGCCTGTTAAGGTACTTTTTCTAGTGGTTCAAGGGCAGTTTTTTCCCCAGTTATTTTCCAAAAAGACCAAATCTGCAGGTTTCAGATCACACAGAGCTGCTTAAGTGGGTGTTTTGGAAATGTAGCTGGTACTTATTGGTGATAAATCTGGAGGTTTTGTGGTAGTTCCCTGAAGTAATTACTCATATAAATTTATAACAGCATTGAACAAGGATTGGAAGGAATTTCTAAATTCATGGGGCAATCTGTTATTAACTCAGAAGGAGATAACTTGTGGGTCTCAGGGGGAATTGATCTTATTGCCATCAAGGTCAGTGGCAAAAGTTTGGATTTATGAGAGTTTTGATAAACTTCAATAATTATATAATAATTTATCACTAAGCAACATTCCAAGACCTTTTTATTTTTTATCTTGAAATAGGGTCTTGTTAAATTGCTGAGGCTGGTCTCAAACTTGCAATCATTCTGCCTCAGCCTCTCAAATCACTGAAATTACAAGCATGTGTCCTGTACCTGACTGATTTTCTTTGTTTTTAATTGTATACTGTGGAACAAATGATCCAGGGGATGTTCTACCACTAAGCTACATCTCATGTCCTTTTTTACTTTTTGAGATAAGATCTCACTAAGTTACTGAGGGTCTCACTAAATTAACCTCCAATTTGCAATCCTCCTGCCTTAGCTGTTGAGATTATAGGCATATGCTACCACACCTGGCTGTATCCTGATTTTTGACAAACAAAACAATCTCCTCATGAGCATTTCTTCCCTTCTGATTTTAAGATACCTCCCAAATCAACAATCCTGTTCTTATCAAAAGTTCCCCCCAAAGCCACTGCAGTTCCAAATTGTTCCTGGTGAAATTTTAAGGGTACAAATTAGTGTAGTAATCAGAAAATAGGCAGGGAGAAGATCTTTGGCCCAGTTCTAGTTGAGACAAAGACCCATAAGGACAGTGCTCATGCAACTGTGGGTCTCCAGGATATGGTCAAAGACTGATCATCACTGATCATGGCCAGAGAAACTTCCTGATTCTTGGCAGAAGAAATGAAACAAAGCAGTTTGCAGGGACACAGACAAAACTAAGAACTAAGATTTTTCTTAGTTTCCAAAACTGTGGAAGAACAAACTTGGAATAATTTATCCAAAGGACACTACTAGTCTGAGAATACTTTTTGAACTGGGCTGGTTGCAGGACAGTCTTATTGACCTTTGGTTGATGGAGAGATTTCTCCTGTTAACTCTGAAAACAAATCAGATTGTGAGATGCTAATTAGTTGCTCAATCCTGGAGCAGTTAACATCCCTGCAAGAAACAAACTGAATGAAGGAAATAAAGAAAGAAGAGAAGAGATGTGACTCAATGGTAACACAGGTTTATTCAGGACAAACCTGCAGATGGGGGCCCAATGGAGACTAAGACCCACTTACAGCCTACAATAGATATAGGGGAGTGAGTGAAGAGGGACTTTTTGCCCATTGCTGGGGGACTGCTTCCTTGTGGTGTTGGACATCATAGGGAACCAGGTGTTTTTCAGAATTTCAGTCTTAGATTACAATTGTTTTGGGTTTAGGTCAGGTTGAGTCAGAGGACCATGAAGTGATTTTCATTCTAAGATGGAGGATATGTTTCAAAATGATGTTACCTCTGTCAAGTTCTTCCTAACAATCCCCCCAGCTTCTTAGACAAATAGTGTTTGATCACCAGAGATTGAACATTTGTAATGCCCTTAGACATCCAGGGCCACACACTTGTCCATTCAGTTTAGACTTTTCCTCTTATAGATGAACAACATTCAAAACCCTAGACAAGCAGATAAACTATAAGAACAGGTATAGAAGCCCAGAAGAGTTTCATCAAGGAAAAGTAAAAATCTGATAACCAAAAAATTCCAGAGAGACCTTACTCCAAGGGAGAAAAACAGAAACAAAATAAACCCAAATGCTTAAGGATCCCAACCAAATATCAGAGCTAAATTCAGCAAGATTCACCTCTAAGCCATGAGCAGAATGGTGCCTCAAACAGAAACACAAGAGGTTTCAGCTGTGCAAGATCTTGTGTCATGCTCCACGACTAAACACCTCAGGTCACTCCAAGTGAACTGGTCTGGCACGAAATAATCACACAGAGACAGAGAGGTACCTTTCTCTTTGGGTCCTGTGATGGCTCCTCTGACTTTAGGCGTCCATGGAAAGAGAGTAAAGAGCATGTGCTGAACCCTTTTTTGGGGGGAGAAGACATTCAAATGAGGCAAGGAGTAGGATTATAAAGAAACAGGTGAGTGTAGCTCAACCCCTCTGGGTGCCACCTACTCCTGGGGCCACTCCTTGTTATCCAAGCCAGGGAAAAGCCCAAGTCACAAGTCATGGCACTACTGAGCAATCTTTCAGATCCCCTTGGTGCATCAGACTTAAAGGGGCATGCATTTGGAGTGGCTCCCCGAAATCTTGTGCAGTCAATTGTATTTCACACACAATTATTAGAATTGAGGATTCCAGTCCAAGGTGGTGAGGGCTTGAGTAGAATTAAGGTGAACCTTCTATTTCTGACAACGCCCCCTAGCGACAGGCTACCAGGAATGCATCCATAGTTGAACAAGGAAGGCTGCAAATGCTGGGGAACCACTGGGGTACCCCTTGCTGGGCATCTCAGCAAGAACATGTTTTGAGGAGAATTATTATAGGATTTGGGCTCATGTTAGGTGACTTCAAAGGTGGGTTCAAAAAGGGAGGGATTAAGCTGGATGCTGTCAGGTAGCAGGGATAATTATTTTTTGTTATCTTGATAATTCTTATCTGTAAGATGGGAAGAATGAACCAGAGTTAACACCATACTAGGTAAAGCAAAAGCAGTCACATTGTGAGAGAGGGAGTTGTGTTCGGTCATTTTTGTGATTTGGACAATATTTTTGTTTTGGGTTCACACATATTATGAAATTTTCTTTTTCTTGGTCTATCAGTCAGAATGTGACCTTGTCTGATGCTAGTGTTTTGTGAAATTCTGCTCAACCGGACAACACCACAGCTTCACCCTTGGTGCCAGGCCAGCTCATAGCAACACCAAGGCTTGTGGAGGGGGAGTGAAAGCCAGCTCTCAGCTGTTAGGAGCTGGGTTTTTTTTTTTTTGTCTTTTTCACTATTACACTTGAAAAGCCAGAATTGACAACCTCTTCTGGCAGAACATGAGCTCTCCATGTTACAACATGCCCATTTCTCTCCAATCATTGACCCACTTCACTCGTTACCACTTTTGTCTACTGAAAACGTTTAAATTTGCATCCCTCGCTAAATGGGAAAAGAACCAATTAAGCCCAGGGAGAAATGACTGGCCTAGGATCTCCCAGTGAACCGGTGGAAGGACTGTGGATTTCCCTCTAGCAAAACCCTTTGCTATACATTAAGCCTCTGAGGTATCAGCCTCTAAACAGGTCATTTAAAAATACTTCTCACCACTTTATCTACACTGGATTCCTATCTTACTGCTTCTTTCTTTCATGACTTTAGCTGGGATTCTAAGATCTTTGCTCAGTTGCTCCAGCCACCCCTGACATTCTCTCTGCTCCTCCAATTCACCAGGCGTGATCACTGTATTTAATCTTCTCTCTGCTTGGACTCTCTTCCCTCTCATTTCCACCCAGCTACTTCTCCTCAGCTAACATTGAGAGCATCACCTGCTCAGCCAGACCTTCCATCCTTGGCGCACTAGTACCACTGCTACCTCCTCTGGGATCTCCCAGCCCTTGGCCTCCTTTGAGAGCTTCCTTTGAATTTCTGTTGGCTGTTCTCACAGTCGGCCAAAGGCATCGGGGCTGCAGGCAGGAAACCTTGCCCAGTGCCCTGCCCACTCTGGGCTTCAGTGAGCAGAGACCCAAATCGTGGGTCGTGGGAATTCGCCTTCAACATCCACAGCGTGCAGAGGCCAGGCACCCCCTCCGTGTAGACTCCGGGATGCGCGGTCAGAGCGCCCCTGGCACTGCCAGGCCAGCCTCTGTCAGCACGTGACCGGCCAACGCCCCCAACTACGCGGACTCTGCACTCGTGGCCCCGCCCTGCGCCAGGGGGTGGGGCCTATGCGCGCCTGCGCAGCTGCTCGGCTTCCGGGTGGCTGGAGCGCGAAGAGGCGGAGGGCCAGTGTTGCAGGGTAGCGGCTTAGAGTGGGCGTGTTTGCCTAGAGCTCCGACCAGGGGGCGGGGGTCCGGGGTCTTTAGAAGCTAGAGACAGCGGGCGGAGAGGGCCTGGGATTTCCGCCACCGCCACCTGGCATGTCGGCCGAGGCCTCGGGCCCGGCGGCAGCCGAGGCCCCATCTCTAGAAGTCCCTAAGCCCTCGGGTCTGGAGCCTGGCTCCGCCGCTTACGGTTTGAAGCCCCTGACCCCGAACAGCAAGTACGTGAAACTGAACGTGGGTGGCTCGCTGCACTACACCACGCTGCGCACCCTCACGGGACAGGACACCATGCTCAAGGCCATGTTCAGCGGCCGCGTGGAGGTGCTCACAGACGCCGGAGGTATGCGCGCCACCCTTTCACGTGCCCCCCGCCATCCCCCAGATTCCCAAATCCCTTTCCTCCAGTTTTCATGGCCAAATCTCGTCATGTCCGTTCTCTAGCTTCACTGTAGTCCAGTCAGTTCGTTCTCATCTCCCTCCAGTCCCCGCTTCCCGTCGTATTTCTCTTTGCTCATTCAAAATATTCCTCCTGCCCCAGTCCTTTATCCCTAGCAATAACCAACTTTTATAGAATCCCTAACCCTGCCAGGCGCTGTGGTCAGTGATTCAACATGTCCCTTCCTAGTCATTGTTATCGGTTCTTCTACCCTTCATCCCTCAAAAGACTTGGGGACCAACCATCTGCCAGCAGTACCCCTTCAGGCAACCTCCATCAGTTTCTTCCAACTTGCTTAGTGTTTTGTTCCCTTCTCTTCTCCCGAACTGCTAACAGCCAGCCTGGAGAAGTGGGAGATCTTGGCCGCCTCTCTGTTCCCCTAACGCAAGTTCCTGTACACGGAGGAGTCATCTGTAAATGCACTGTAGAAGGAGAAAGCTGCTTTGAGTTTGTCCAGGACAGCAGAGTGTAGGGTGGACAGTCTTGGCATGTGAACTTTATCTTCTTGGAGTGTTGCATTTAAGTTTGAGACCCATATGCCCTTAGTAGAACCTTGAAGTTTGCAGGAAAATAAAAATTTGGGAGGAGTTCAGCCTTTAACTACTAAAAGTGAAGAATTCATTTATTCAGTAAGTATTTGCAAAGTACCAGTTACTCCTGGAGACCCTTTGGTAAAGGAATCTGACAAGATCAGTCTTATGGAGTTTGCTTTTTTTTTAATATTTATTTTTTAGGTGTAGATGGACACAACACAATGCCTTTATTTTTATGTGGTGCTGAGGATCCAACCGGGCCACACCTGTGCTAGGCAAGCGTTCCACAGCTGAGCCACAATCCCAGCCCCTGGAGTTTACTTTTTGGGGAGGGGGTTGGAAGAGTCCAATAAGCAAGTAAACAATAAAATGTATGTATATAATCACAGTTAATAAGTCCTATGAATAATTTAAAGTTTAAAATGTTAGTGAAGGGAAGTAGAGGGTAGGGGTAGGTATTTTAATTAAATAAAATGGTCAGAATCAACACCAGGGGTTATTGATAAAATGAGAACTTTGTCATGATGAAAGCCTTCAGAAAGATTTGTTAGCTCTAGGGACCCCAGCAAAGCCATCCCTTTTCCTGTGTCTGCCCACCCCACTAGGTTGGGTGTTGATTGACCGGAGCGGCCGCCACTTTGGTACCATCCTCAACTACCTGCGGGATGGGTCTGTGCCACTTCCTGAGAGTACCAGAGAACTGGGAGAGTTACTAGGAGAAGCCCGCTACTACCTGGTACAAGGCCTGATTGAGGACTGCCAGCTGGCACTACAGGTGAGGGTCTTCCCCTACTCCTCAGTTCCTATGTCCATGTGCCTCTCAGAGTTGCCCAGGCATTTGGCTGTTAGGCAGGAAAATGGAGATATAGGGTCTGCCCTGGAGAGCCTGGCTCTGGCTGGCAATAACCCCAGAGAATATGGGGGTGTGATCCTCTTCATCCCTGTTTCCTCAAGCACAGTCCCCTCACCACCTCATGGCAGGACTGTTGCAATGATAAATACTTGCTTTCTACTTCTTGCTGGTCCTTCCCAGACAATCCAGCTATTTAACCACGTAAGTAATTTATCCTTGAACACAACCCCCATCTATTTTCCTCCTTGCTCAGAAGTTCTGTGCCACTGGGGAAAACATATAAAAATTTAAATTGGAATATAATAACCTCCATGATCTGGTCCTATCCTGGGAGGCAGCATTTTCCCATGTCTCCTATCTCCCTAGGGTTTGTTTTTGTTTGAGTGAAATTCTTTTGTCAAATTAAATCTCACCGAAGCTACAGAGCTGCATCTACTGGGCTCCATTTCTGTGGATCCCTTAGGAATCTGAGAACAGGGCTTGGAAAGCACAGTCAGGACCCAGAGGGGTCCTTGTCACCTCTGCCGCGGCTAATTGAGCAACCTTGAGCAAGTCAGTTCCTACTGCTGGTACTCTGTCTCTGTGTCCCAAAAGATAGTCAGGAAAAATAAGTACAGTGTAATGAGTTTTATATAAAGCCTTTTATTCTGTTTAGTTTTAACAATGTTAAAATGTCTTATCTTTTATGATATAATAATAACAGGAGATTATAAGAGTTTCTCTTTTATGCCCTTTATAGATTAAAAAGTAGTGAATAACTTTCTCTTATCTCAGGGAATATTTACTGCTTCTTGAAATTCAAAGGTATAAAATCTCTTTGAATGATATCCATGGTTTTCAAACTTTTTGACTGTAGCCCATAGGGGGAAAAAAAATACTTTATATACTCATTCATGTAACTGAAATAAGAGTGTTATGAAAGGATACTTTTAGTGAAATGTACTTGGATATATTGTTTCTTTCCTTTCTTCCTTCCTTTCTTCTTCCTTATTCCTTCTTTCTTCTTTAATACAGTTTGAGACACATTAAACTTATTTCATGACCCATTAATGAGTTACCACTTGGCAATTGAAAAAACATTAAACTAGATCTTAGAAATACATTCCTGCTCTATAATTTTAAACTGAGCTAATGTTATTGTATATCTACTATGCATTGGGAAGGATTTTGCTATCTGGTTGTGTGTAGATTTTGTACCCTTGGTTGACATAAGAGAAACATGAGGTCAATGAGCAACCAAGGTCAATGAGCCAGTAAGCAGCAGAGCTCAGATTCACCCCCGGGTTTTCTGACTCCCAAATGCTTTTCCTTCATGCTCCATCTGACTCCTTTCTAGGTTTTCTGAGGACCCCTCTCAGCTCCACCCCCTACAGCTCAGCACACTCCTCAGGGTATGGCACACAGTCATCATTGGTCTCTGCAAATCTTTTCTCTTTTTAGTTTTTCCTCATCATTCCCAATCACCTACTCACTTTCCTTTTCCTCAGGAGTATCCATCCATTTCTGATGTTTTGATAACATACGCTTGGATTATATTTGTTCCCTGGAAAAGCTAAAGCATTATTGGTACATACATTTTAAATTTTCATAAGTGGCATTGAGTAGTGGTTTGTGTTGTTTCATAGTTTTTCATTCAACACTTGTTTTTTTAAATCTATTCATACTGTTGCATGTACATCTAGTTCTTTGCTTCTAACAGCTGCACAGGAATCTGTGGTGTTCGCTTGCTATCTTTTATTTATACATTCCCCTGAGGTTGGAGACCTAGATTGTCCCCACAAATAGTGCCACTGTGAGTATCCTTGTACATGTCCCCTTTTGCTCCTGTGCCATAGTTTCTTGTGATTGTAGCTGAAAGAATTACTGGGACATGGAACATATGCAATCTGAATTTCAGTAAATATTGTCAGATTGCTCTCCCAAATGGTTCTAGTGCTTTATTCTCATGATCTTCAGTGCATAAGAAATCCCATTTGTTCAAATTCTCAACACGTGGCATCCTCCTTTCTAATTTTGCCAGTCTGATGGATATAGAGTGATCTCATTCCACTTTGCATGCCTCTTGATTACTAATGAGATTGAGCATCCTTTCATATACATACTCACTAGCTTTTTTGGTGTCACTCTTCTGTAAATTGCTTATTCATATTCTTTACCAAATTTTCTAGCGAGTCTCCTGTCTTTCTCTTGTTGCTTAGCAGGAGATCCTTGCATATTTTAGTTTAGTTCCTAGGGAAAATTAAGCCCTATTATGTAATGGCATGTATTACACATGCTCTAAGGCATGCTATAAATGAACTTTTCTTCTAAGCATCTAGGATAGTACTATTTTTCTATCATGCTTGAGAGGATTCAGAAAATAACACAAATTCTTTTCCAGGTTTTGAGATTTACATAAGAAACCCCATCTAGATAATAATTTGTAGTCAATTTTAGATATTGTTAGTATTTTCTCTTAGAATGTCACCTGTCTGTAGTATCTGGTATTGATTTTTTTTTAATTACAAATAACCACTCATTATATTTAAAGCAGTATTTATAATATCAATTGCAGAACTTTAGTAAACACAGATAACCAAAAAAATATGAGCAACAGTTTTTTTCCAGGTCTTTTGGGTATGTGTTGTGTGCATGCAAAATGTGTGTCTCTGCCACAATAAGATTGTGCTGTGTGTACTGTTTTATAATCTGCTTTTTAAAATTATTAATAATTGCCATCTTTCTGTATCAATAAAGTTTTTATGTAACATCCAGGGCATATTCCAGTTTCTCCAGTTGTTCCAGAAATGTTTTTATACCTGGTTCATCCAAACCAGAATCCAGTCTAGGTCCTCACATTGCATCTGGTTATCATGTTCTGTAAGTCTTGTCCAATCCAAAACAGTCCTTTTTTCTCATGATGCTGACTTTCTAGAGACTGCCAGTTGTCCTATACAATGGACCTGCTTATCAAACCTGCCTGATTATTTTCTCATGATATCATTGTTGTGTTACCCAGCCCTGTCTTGAATTTCCTGTAAATTGAACCATAAATTTTAAGGCTTGATACTAAGCATTTTGGTTAGAATACCTTATAGGTATGTTATATATTTCATATTTGGCTACATCAAAAGATCCATAACATTGCTAATATGAGCCCTTATTAATGTTGCTCATAATTGGTCCCTGGATTTGGGTATTGGTTTGATTCTTTTATTATGTTTACTTTCCTTGTTGCCAACTGTGAAGCCATCTGTATGATATTATTTGGGCATTACAGGTAGCAATTACCTATCAACAGTAGACCAATTGATAAACCTTGCCTGAATCAATAATTTTATTATGGTTGTAGAATAGTTATAATTCTATCATTTCTTCAACATTATTCCATGGGGATTACTTACCAAGTTGTCTTCCATTGTCAACTGAGACATTCTTGACATTAATGTAGACAAATTATCTTTTTTTTTTTTTTTTTTTGCTTAGTAGTATATTTTACTTATTTAAGATATAAGAAGTTTTTCCTGTTCTACATTTTTTATTAGCTTTGTAATTCTGTTTTTATAGTTTCATATATGGACCTTTTACTCTTGGTAGTGTACTCAGTTTTTAAAATGTGAATTATGAAGGGATGTGACTCTCTTTTTTTTTTAATCCTCCATAGAGTAAGCTAGTTTTCCTTTCCCATACTAAGTAGGGCTAACATGTACCAAATAGATTGTTGAAGGGATATGGTGTGACTTTTGAAGCTAGGACATAAAAGGCATTACTACTTCTTCTGCGCCTCTCTTGGATCATTTATTCTGGGAGCCAGACATTTTGTGACGACACTCAAGCAGCCTTCAGGAGATCCATTTGGTAAGGAACTGACGCTTCTTGCCAACCACCAGCACAAACCTTCAGCCATCTGGATGAACTATCTCGGAAGCATATACTCCAGGCCTGGTCAAATCTTCAGATGACATACCCTAGCCAACATCTAAACTATAACTTCATAAAAGACCCTGAGCCAGGACCACCCACCTAGGCCAATCTTAAATTCCTGATTCATAGAAGGTGTAAGGATTAATAAATGTTTATTTTAAGCCGCTAAATTTGTAGTAATTTGTTACCCAGCAAGAGATACAGATTTTGGTTCCTGGAGTGGGGCATCTGCTATAAGAAAAACTTCAAATGTGGAAGTAGCTTTAGAACTAAGAAGTAGGGAGGAATTCAAAGGACTGAGGATAATGTTAGTAAAAACCTAAAGAGTTTTGAAGAGTTTGTTAATAGAAGATTGATGACGGTGAGACGGCAGCAGTGAGGGCTTAACAGTTAGGAAAATGTTCTTGGAAAGTTATGTACTAGTTATATACTCCCAGAAAGCTTAGCAACCTTGTCTCTGGTAATTTAGAAAGTAGAAAATATACCTAGAGAACTTGGTTATCTAGTTACGGAGGTTCCCAGATAGAATGCTAAAGGTACCACCTAGTTTCTTATTGCTTATGGTAAAACAGAAGAGGAGAGAAAACCTAAAGAAAAAGCAGTGGAACAAAAAAAAAAAAGCCATAAATTGTTCGATTTAGAAATTCCCAGCCTTCCAAATAATAAATATGTTCAAGTTAAACTGCCAGGCAAAGATTAAAAACAGGGTGTTCTCAGGAAAACATGGTCTAAAGATGAACCAGGAATGGGATTATAAAGTCCTTTGACTCTAAAGTTCTCAGAAATATCCAAGAAGATGCCTCGGAGAATCATTTGATAAATAATAGCACTTCTAAGAAGTGCTTAGGGTGTTGTCCCTCAGGAGTCAGCCCAAGCCTAAAGTAGAGAAGGGCATGTCTTACAGATTTGTGAGTATGGCTTTTTTCTTGGGAAGCAAACCCCAAGACTTATAAGATGATAAGTATTAAAGATAATTATATTGACAGAAACACTACTAGCTTGGATCAAAAGGGACAGAGACAGCAAAAGAAGAGGCTTTGGACTCCCAAACTTCCACAGGCAGGAAGTAGGCTGAGGAAACTATGGAGCTGCAAACATCTTTCATGGAAAAGGAAGGCTGACTCAGCATAGGAGCCTGGAGAATTGTTTCTGAACAAGGGTAGGCATTAAAGAATTCCTAGCCTATGTCCAAAGGAATCACAGAATCTCTAGGACCAGGAATCTCTCTGTGCCTTCTGTTTCCCCTGCCCCCTTTTGAACAAGAGTGTCCCCCATGGTCATCTTGTGCCTGTTTGGCCATTGCATATTGAGTATGTGGAGGAGACAATTTATTTCTTATTCCCAAGTCTTTAGGGAAAGTCCTTCAGGAGCTATATTTAGGGAATTATACCCAAGTAGCCTCATCCCTACCCAGACCTGATTGAGATGTCAGCATTCTATACTTTGAGTTGATGCTGTAATGGGATGAGACTTTGAGGGATGTTGGGAAGGGGCAAATGGGTTTTGCATGTGAATCATCAGAGGGTGGGCTTTGCAGCCAACCTCCAGGGCAGCCCCAGTGATTCTTATCCTCAAGTAGTCATTCCTTGTGTCACCTCCTTGCACCTTGAGTAGGGCTCATGAATCTGTATCAGAGGTCAATGAGGCTTCCACCTTGCTCTTGCTTGGATTATTTGCTCTGGGGAAGCCAGATTCTATGTCATGAGGATTCTCAAGCACACCAGTAGAGAGGTCCATAAGGCAGGAGTTGGGTGTTTCCTGCCAACAACTGTTACCAGCCATACAAGAAAGCTTCCTCAGAAATGGATCCTCTAGAGGGAATCCTCTTCAGATGCCAGTATCTCCTTCTGATCACAACCATGTGAGAGAACTCATGCCAGAATGGTCTGATGAAGCCACTTCTGAATTCCTGACTTACGCAAACTGAAATAATGAATACATTTGTTAATTGAGGCTGCTAAGTTCGTGGGCAGTTTGTTCAGCAATAAGTAACTAACGTACTCTCCATACTTACCCCCGCTCATCTGTGGTGTCCTTTTTCAAATATCAGTTCTCATACACACCAGTCTGTTTCTGAGCAGTCTATTGTGTCCCATTTGTTTTTTACTTCTGAGCCAGAACTGCTCTTTTAAAAAACTAACCCTGAGGCAGGTGACATGGTACATGCTTTAATCCCAGCAATTTGGGAGCTGAGAAAGGAGGATCACAATTTCAAGGCCAACCTTAGCAATTTAGCAATGACCAGTCTCAAAAAATAAAAGGGGAAGGGTATTTAGTGATAAAGTGCTCTGGGTTCGATCCCCAGTACTTCCCCCCACTCCCTGAAAAAAATTTGACTCTAGTTTTAGACTTTTATTCCATTTACATTTTGTTTTATTTATTAATTCACTTACTTATTTTGAGGTGGGGTCTTGTCACGTTGCCCAGGCTGGTCTTGAACTCCTGGTCTCCTGCCTCAGTCTCCCAAGTTACTGGGGCTACAGCATATGCTACTACACCAGCCTTTCATATTAATTTTGAAGAAGCCTTAGGGGAAAAAATAGGGAAATTGGCTGAGCACCATGGCGCACGCCTCTAGTCCCTGTGACTCAGGATGCTGAGGCAGGATTACAAGTTTAAGGCCAGCCTAGCAACTTAGTCCCTAAAGCAACTTATCAAGACTCTGTCTCAAATGATACAAAGCACTAGGGATGTGGCTCAGTGGTTAAGCAAACAGGAGGCTGCTTTAGCCAGGGCCCTTAGTGAGCAGGGCTGGCACTGTGAAGAGGCACCTTTGAGCCAAGATCTGAATAGTACAAAGCAGCCAACAGTGCAGGCAGCAGAGTGGAAACCCAGGGCCAGGATGGACACAGCTGGAAGCATGAAGGAGCAAGGCAGGCAGCAGAGCCAGCAGAGATGGGATCCTGCACAGCCTGGTGGACACTGAGTCTGGATTTTTCTCCTGCCCAGGGCCACAAGCAGCATTTATTTATTTATCTATCTGTTGTCTATCTATTTTTGGTGCTGGGGATTGAACACAGGGCCTAGCACATGCAAGGCTCTATCAACTGAACTATATCCCCAGCCCACACAAGCAGCTTTTGAAGGCCTTTAAGTGAAGGAGCGAATGACCTCTGGTTATATTGTTAACCACCTTCCACTTCTTCCCCAGCAAAAAAGGGAGAACCTGTGCCCGCTGTGCCTCATCCCCACGGTGACATCTCCCCGGGAGGAGCAGCAGCTCCTGGCCAGCACCTCTAAGGTGAGGCCCCTGAGCTCTGTGGGGTGGAGGCTTAGGGCCTCTCCCTGCAGCCTGATCCCATCCTTCTCCTCCTCTCCCCCAACAGCCCGTGGTGAAGCTCCTGCACAACCGCAGTAACAACAAGTACTCCTATACCAGGTGACTGCTGTGGTGGGGCAGGGTGTGTGTGTTCACATGCAAACCAGGCAAAACCCTGGGGTGCACAGCTCTGCTGCGGGTCCAAAGGGAAGGCTATGGCCACACAGGGGCAATAAGGACACCTGCCTCAGTGCACATTCCAGCTCTGCCACTTGCCCACTGGGTACTTTGAGCAGATCATCCCCCATTCAGAGCTTCAGTTGTATCCTCAGTACACAGAGGTTTAGCTGAGGACTACATGATGGCTGTCATGGACTAAGTGCTGATTTTCAAACCAGATTTCTCTAAGTGCTCTGTTAACTTAGACAACTCTTCCACTGTTTTGAGGTAGGTGTTGTGAACTCCATTGACAGATGAGGAGATTGAGGCACCAAGAGGTGTTAAGTAACTTGCCTAGTGTCAGTCAGTTAAAAAGTGGCAGAGCTGGGGTGCCTGATGTGGCAGCTTGGTGAAGCAGCCTGGCTCAAAAGCCTACATGGGGAGCTGAATGGCTATGCTTGCTGGGATTTACCCAGCAAATGCTATTTCCCTTTTGAGGCCTGTTTGGCTGGAAGATCCTGCAGGGCAGAACCAGAGTGCCTTCAGGAGGGGGGGGCGGAGCAGGAAGGGGAAGCCAGTCATGCTGAGGCCTTGCTGCACCCCCCCTCCCAACCTGGTCCTCAGCACTTCAGATGACAACCTACTTAAGAACATCGAACTATTTGACAAATTGGCCCTGCGCTTCCACGGGCGACTGCTCTTCCTCAAGGATGTCCTGGGGGATGAGATCTGCTGCTGGTCTTTCTACGGGCAGGGTCGCAAAATCGCCGAGGTGTGTTGCACCTCCATTGTCTATGCCACGGAGAAGAAGCAAACCAAGGTCAGAGGGGTTCCAGGACTGGTCAGGGAGGCATGAGGGTGGGTAGAACCAGGACCCTGGACAGAGGCAGCTTAGCTGATGGGGCAGGGAGAGTCCTTCAGTTGGAGTCAGGGGCCAGAGTTCTGGGGCCTTGGCTGTTTAACTTGGGCAGGTCATCTTACTTCAGTGGTCACTTTCTCTCCCTGTAAAATGAGGGTGTTGGTTTAGAGCAGGGTTGTCTTCTGTGCTGAGAACTGAACTCGGGGCATCTCATAGAGCAGGGTTCTTAACCTCTGCATCCCCGGCAATAGTTTGCAGGTTTGGAGGTGTGTACATTTTTCTGTCTAGAAAGTCCATGGTTGTCTTTATTATTTCAGAAGAATCTATTATCCACAAAAGTTTCTTAAAACCTAAGGACCACATGGTCTCTTGGAACACATCTGAGTTTGTAGATTCTGAGTCATGAACATGACAATCATCAGCAAATGTTTCTCAAGCACCTGCTCTGCACTAAACACTGCCCAGACTCGGAACCGCAGAGGAGGATAAGCTGAGTAATGAGCAAGCCCTTCTTCACCTGTTTCTTCTGAACTTAATATGAGGCTATACCCTGGGTACTCCCCAAAGCCACTTCACACCTCCCACCTCTGCACACATTCTTTTTGGAATTTTTTTTTCCCTGTCCCTTTCCACTTAATGAACCTGTACCTAACCATTAAGACCCAAGCCAAGCATCATTTTCCTTGGGACACCTTTGCTCATGAACTTTGAATCCAACCATCTCAAAGTTGGTCACACTCCCTTCTTAGCTGGAGATAGCATTTATGATAGTGTATGGGTGTGGAAATGGTGGCTGCTTCAGTGGCCAGGCAATTCTTTGCCTTTTTTTTTCCTGTCTCCCCAACACTAGCCTGGCCCTTGTCACACAGGTAGGAAACATTGATGGAATGCATGAGTGAATGAATGACTTGGCTCCTTGAAGGTTTCTTCTGCAATTGGGAAGAAAGGAAGATAAACCAATAATTAGAATACAACTTGTTCAGAGCTACATACATTATATCCTTCCAAGGCCACACGAGTGGAGTACCCCAACAACTTGACTTTGTTTCTGTGTACTTCGTTCATCACTCTGCCTCAATGGCATTGGCCTCCTGTTGATCTTTGAATAATCCACTAGGCATACCACTGACCTGGGTGCCATTGCCACTCCCCAGCCTGCTTTCTCTAGCTATCCCTGGTCTGCCTCCCTCCCCTGCTTTGGTTAGATATACCCTCCAGTGATATCCCTAAACTCCCTCTTGAAAGATGTCACACTGGCCATGGCCAAGCTCCTTCCCTTTTCTTGATGTGTTTTTGCATAATATTTGTCGTCATCTGACTTAGGTTATGTTTTGAGTGTATATCTGAGTCCTCCTCCTAGAATGGAGACATGCCGAGGGCAGGCACTTTTGTGTTCTGTTCGCTGTCATTCCCCATTCCTATAACAGTACCTAGTGTAGTGCAGTCCCTCATTAGGCTTCAGAGCTTGGAGTATGAGTTTGCCAGGTAAAAGGGGACAGTCCACGCCTGAGAACCTGACTGCAGAGGCTGGGGGGCACATGGGTGCAGGAGCTGTGGGGGACAGGGACTATGGGACTGGACCAGAGGGTAGGAGTGGGGAGATTGATGGCCTTTTGCAGGTGGAATTCCCAGAGGCCCGGATCTTCGAGGAGACCCTGAATATCCTCATCTATGAGACTCCACGGGACCCAGACCCAGCCCTCCTTGAGGCCACAGGGGGTGCATCTGGAGGTGGTGGGGCCGGCCGAGGGGAAGATGAAGAGAACCGGGAGCACCGTGTCCGCAGGATCCACGTCAGGCGCCACATCACCCACGATGAGCGTCCTCATGGCCAACAGATTGTTTTCAAGGACTGACTTTTGACCCTTCCCCTGGCATTTGACCCTTGCCCTTCCTTCCTCCTGGGAACCATCCATACCTCTTGTTTTTCTCCCATCCCCAGACCTTTGCCCCGGCTCTGCTGGCCAAGTCGTGGGTCTTCTGTCCCTTCGTTGCATGGTACAGTTCACTTGTGCCATTTTCCGTTCATGTTCACTCACTGCTAACAGTTGTACATTCCAGCCCTTCCCCTCAGGCAGAGCCCTTCAGAAGGCCCCTCCTCCCCATTCTTGTCCTGCGATCTTTCCTTCGCCAGATGGTTTAGAAGGACTTAGAATCCCCTTTTTCTTTTTTTAGTACAGTGTACACACCTAAGTGTTGAGCCATTCCTTAGCAACATCCGCCATGTTCTGAGCCACCTCCCACCATTGTGCAAGGTACTCTGCTTCCCTCCCTCCCTCCCTCCCTCCCCACCATTTTCCCTACCTCCTTAACTTTGTACTAGGCTGGCCTGGGCTGTTGCCAGCTTGGCTATCTTCTTGATCTGTTTCATATTATTTATTATTTTAATTTTATATTAAATTATTGGAATAAAGTTGAGTTGAAAGCCTGCTGCTGGTTCACCCAGGGAGAGGAATGGGGAGAAGGCTTGTGTTAGGTGATGCCTGGCTAGTTGTATGGCAGAAGGCAGGAGTTCCGCCCCAAGCCCTCCCTGAGGCTGGTAGCTGGGAAGGAAGTACACAGGAGTTAGGAAAGCGTTCAAAATTTATATTTCAGCACTTACTGGCCATCCACAGCCCCCTCCCAACCCTCGCAGAGGAGGTGGTCCTGGCTGCCACTAAAGCATCTCCAGCCAGGTGTCTGAAGGGAACACCTTCCTTCAAGGGTCTGGTGCGAAGACAAAGTCGAGGGCCTGACGTTCAGCCCCAGCCACGTTGGGGTGCCAGAGGTCCACAATGAAGACTACTCTAGGCCCATCTTCAGGGGAACCTAGGGCACATGAGGATAGAAACAGAACACCAGCTGACATGAAGCACTCACTAGAGACTCAAAAGAGTATATAAGTGCCAACCCCTGTTCTAGCCCTTTATATGTGTGAACTCTTAATCACCAAAACAAATTACGAGGTAGCTCCATGGTTATACAAAGCAACTAAGGTATAATAAGCTTAAGTGATTTTCCTAATATCTGACCCCAAAATGTAGAGGGAGGAGAGAAGCCCAGGTGATCCAAACCTGAAGTCCTGTGCTGTGAGCTATTTTGTATGCACCTCCGTTAACTTATTTAACCTGTGATTGCTTTATTAAAAAATAAAAAGGCAGTTTATAATCCCAGCAATTTGGGAGACTGAGGGAGGATCACAATTTGAAGGTCAGCCTCCACAACTTAGTGAGACCCTGTCTCAAATTTTTAAGGAAGTAATGGTAGAGTGCCCCTGGATTTTATCCCCTGTACCAAGAGAGAAAAAAAGGAGGGGGCAGTTGCCACACAGGTGATTGGAGTTATGTGACTCACTCAAGATCATGCAGTTGAGAATTAGTGGTGCTGGGACAGGAACTCAGCTGGGCCTGATTCTGCAGCCCTCTAAGTCTCCTTCACTCTTCATCCTCACCCCCACCCTCAGCAGAGAAGAGGCCCCATTACCATTATGAGCCACTGTGTACAGGAAGGAGTCATCCACCAGGAGGCAGTGCCCCTCAGCCCAGCACTGGGGCTCACCCCCAACCACCAGCTCACAGCCAGAGGGGATCTTCACACCTGTGGGAACAGACCAGGCATTTAACTCCCCTGCTTCTGCCCAAGGCGCCCACTCTGCTCAATCAGCAGATCTAAAGGCCAGGTTCTGTGGTGGTCCCTCCTTGCTCTCTGGTTGGTGACTGGAGTATAATCAACAAAGCAATGGATGGAAGAAGTGCTAGGAGATCATGGAAGTGCTTCTGTGGGAAGCATAATCTGTCATCTTTAGAGAATAAAGAAAGCTTCCTGAAGCAAATGGCATCTCCTTCTTGGTTTCCTGACAATTCACCTCAAGAACCCACTATCTGCAGGCACAGTCTCCTCACAAGATACAACTAAGGAGTCCATCCTGGCCCAAGGATCATACAGTTGGGCATGGTGGAAAAAATGAGACCTACTTAAATGATGGACAATAGGCACGCATCCCAGAGGAGGCCCAGGATTTGAAAATACTCCCAAAGTCTGGGTAGGAGTCTTCTAGGCAATGATAAGGAGGAAGGCTTTCTAGGTTAGAAGTTCAACAGTATGTGATATCTGCCTGAATCAGCCAGAAAGCCTTCATGATTTACAGTATGGTGGGAGGAAGGAGAGGAAGGATCTGGACTTAGTCCTGAGGCCAGCCTGCCCCCAAAGTATAGGACACATCCAACTGGCTGTAAGGAGATGCTTTTGGGTGAAACAAAGTCATGGCATAGAGTAACAATCAGAAAGTTGATTTCCATTTTCTTTCAATCTTCAAAACATCAAAAAGAAAATCTCAAGAGGCTTGTGGCTCCGTGGTAGAGCACTTGCCTAGCACGTGTGAGGCCCTGGGTTTGATCCTCAGCACCATATACAGATAAAAAAATAAAATAAAGGTATTGGGCTGGGGATGTGGCTCAAGCGGTAGCGCGCTCGCCTGGCATGCATGCGTCCCGGGTTTGATCTTCAGCACCACATACAAAGATGTTGTGTCCGCTGAAAACTAAAAAAAAAAATAAATATTAAAAAAGGTATTATATCCATCTACAACTACAAAAAATATATTTAAAAAAATATCAGGTTGGTGCTACTGGAACTTTAACACCTCACTAATACTGATACCTTTTCGATGAAGAAAATAGAGGCCCCAGGCTTGGAGTGACCTGAGTATTTAACTAAAATGTTTAAGACTTTCTTTTTTCTTTATTTATATTTTAATTATAGGTGGGCACAATATTTTTATGTGGTACTGAGTATTGAACCTGGTGCCTCCCACATGGTAGGTGAGCGCTCTACCTCTGAGCCACAACCCCAGCCCTCTTTTTTTTTTAATTTAAATTTTATAAGTACTTTCTATGTAGAGTAAGAAACACTGATGATCACTTATAACTCTATAAAGATTGCTTTTCATTAAATAATTAAAACCAAAGGTGGGAGGAGAGTCAATGTGAAGAAACATCATACTGGGGTTAAATAACTATGGTAGAGGTTATGAAGATGGTTTGCAGAGAAGTGAAACTCAGAAAATGCTACTGTGGCTGGGCACCATAGTGCATGCCTGTAATCCCAGCAGCTGGGGAGGCTGAGGCTGGAGGATGGCAAGTTCAAAGCCAACCTCAGCAACTTAAACAGTTTAACAAGGCCCTATATCAAAATAAAATACAAAAAAAAAAAAAAGGACTGGGAATGTGGTTCAGTGGTAAAGTGCCCTGTGGGCAATAATGAGTTATGGAAGATTCTGAGAAGAAAGGCATGAGGAAAATTCATAACAGAAAGGTTCATCAGCTGAGAAGCGGGTCTGGATGAGGCATTGTAGAAGCAAGGAAGTTGTCTAAAGGCAGGATTTACTTACCCAGATGGCATCTAACCCGAGCGTTGGTGGGCCCACAGCGGCCCTCGAGCCGGGCCCCAGGTAGAAGGACAGAAAAGCCAGCATTGCCGAAGGTGTTGGCACTCATAAAGCTCCGCAGCCCTCTCAGTGCCCTATAGGCTCCCGGGCACCGTCGGCAGTTGCTGGGTTGGCACCGGCCTGCTTGGTACAGCAGGAGCTGGTAGCACCCAGGGGCTAGGGGTGGGGACCAGCCCCGAGGCAGAGGGGTAGTCCCTGAGAAGTCCCAGCTCACAGCCCCAAAGTCCCGCAAAATGGCAGGGAAGCTGCTTTCTAAGAGTTCCACATCATGCCGTTGGGCATCCCGTGGCACAAAGGGGGCTGAAGGCAGGTCTGGTAGAAAAAACAGGCCTGGGCGCTGAATGCCCAGGACACCAGGCCCTCCTCCAGGGCCTGGGCCACCCTGAGCTGCCCGCCTCACCCTACCCATGCCAGCCCATGAATAGCGCCTGGCATAGGCCCGAAGTCGACGGCTCACTAGGCCTTCTGCTCTGGGTCCTTCTCCAGGCTCCCCAGGGCTCCTTGGGCCTGGTCTGCCAACCTCAGGGCATCCCCTAGGCCCACCACTAACACCTCCAGCCTGGCTCCCAGCCCCCAGGGCCTGTATGTCTTGGGAACCCAGCCGGTAGCAGTACCAGAGGAACAGGGAAGTGAGGGCTCCGAGGAGCAAGGTAAGGGCTGAGGAGGCCAGGGGCAGAGGCCATGGAAGCATAACAGGCAGGGAGGCCCTGGCCAAGAGGCCTGGGGCATCTTCCAGACCCCAGTTTCCTGGTCCCCCCAGCTCTCCACCTGGCCCCTCAATGGCTGCTTCCTGGTCCCCCGCTGGGCAGTTTCCCTTCCACATGCCCTTTCCTGGTTCGTGGGCCTCTCTGATGTCTCCTCTCTACTTTGCACCTCTCTCTCCCCTCCTTCAGGTGCTAGGAGCCTCCTAGCTCGCTCTCCCCTCTCCTCTTACCTCTCCTTCCTCCATTCAGTTGTCTCCCCTCCCTCTATCGCTCTCCTTCCTTCTCCTCTATCGCCCTTCTCTCCCTCTCTCTTCCTTCTCCTCGGGCAGTCTCCTCTCCCTCTGCCTTTCTCCACCCTCAGTCTTCCACTCTCCCCTCTTTTCTTCTTCCTCCACCCCCGCTCCTTCTTTAGCTCGCCCTCCCTTTCCCTTCTAGCTTCCCCGGACAGCCAGCCGTTCCTACCCCGCCTGGACCTGCAGCCCAGGACCCCGCAGCCTGTCTTCCTCCGTGGTGGCCTCTCTCTCTCCTTCCTCCCTCTTCTCTCCTTCTTGCCCTCGCTCCTCACTCGACCCGACCCGCTGGTCTTGCCTCTCTCTCGTTCCCTCTCTCCTACTCGCTCCTTCCTAGGCTCCCACTCACCCTGACGTCACTCCTTCCCGCAGCCCTCCCAGCTTAGCTACCTCCGACCCCTCCCAGTGGCAACGCGACTCAGCTCTGGGGGAGGGGTAACTCAGCTCTGGATTTGCCTCCCTGCCCCCCACAGCCCGGACCTGGCGCCACGTGGGGCGCAGGGGGCACTGTGCCAACCTCCCGCAGCCCCGCAATGCGAAAAGGAGGGGCGGGGTCTGGATAGGGGCGGGGCTAACCCAGGGGGTGGAGCGAGAGCAGGGACTGACTGACTCCGCCGGGGCTCGGGGACTGCAGGCAGGGAGGCCACCGCCAGTCAGTGGGTCTGCGAGTCCCTCGAGTAGTCAGCCTGTGACTCCTCCTCCCCCTTGGCCTTCACAAGAGCCAGCCCACGGCGGGAGCCCGAACGTTAGTGAAAGCGGCTTCAGCCAATGCCCGCCACGCCGAGGGCCGGCGGACGCAGGCGGGGCCGAGAAGAGCTGTCCGCGCGCTGGTGGTGCTGAAAAGGGCGCTCCCTAAGCGTGGCGAGGGAGACCAGTTGAAGCTGCCTGGCAGCTGGCCGGGGTCGTGTTGTAAGAGGAAGGGTCTCTCCTTTCCAGGTCACCCCTTAGACGTTTCACAAACATGGAAACTCGCCGTTTTCCTGCGGGAGGGGAAGGCCCATCTCATCTGAGTTTTTCTGTAAAATGCAAAGGGGAAAGTCCAATGGGGGATCGAGTCATGGACAGAGGGCATATTGGAGGACCAAACAGGCGCGAACCAAGCTGTGCCGCTCCTTGGCGCCCTGGGAAGAGGAAATTCAGATTCCAGATGTGCTGGAATGGCGGGGGGAGGGGGCCTAATTACTGCTGGGACTGGAGAGTTTCCTTTGCCTCCCCTAGGGGCCGCGGGAGTGAGTATTACGGTCTTGGCTCCTGATCCCTCCTTCCACCATCTGCACTTCCTCCTCCTCCCTCCTCCGCAAATAAATCCCAGGCCCCTCCCTTCTCCCGTCCCCAGGATCTGACGTGGGCTCGACACCTTTCTCAGCTTCTCCCTCCCGCAGCTTCAGTGCCCGAGCTTCGGCTCTCGGGTTCCGCAACCCCTTCCCCTCCCCGACAAGCCCCGCTAGAGCCCCGTAGGGACCCTCCCCATCCTCAACCCCACCCTAGACCCCCCGGAAGCTGTATTTCCCCTCCCCACTCCCCCGCTTGGGATACAGCCAGCCCGGTGGACCCAGGCGCCCGAACAAGAGGGTAACCTTCGGCCCTCTCGGCCCCACCCCCTCCAGCCGGAGCCGCGCCCCCCTCTACCACGGATCTAGGAGCAGAGGACAGAGATTAAGCAAAAAGGGGTGGACTCCAGGCAACCTCTAGCCCAATTCTGTCCCTCCATCTCAAGGAGGAGAGAAATTGTCTTCCATTGCTGACCCCCAGCAGGAAAACAAAATTAAGGAGAAAGATAAAAGGACACGGAGGAAAAGTGGCAACTAGATTATTTAGGAGAGGCACAGAGGAGAGAAATTGGGGTGAGTCGCCATGGGGACTCCCAAGGCCCAGCACCCACCGCCTCCCCAGCTGCTGTTCCTAATTCTGCTGAGCTGTCCCTGGATTCAGGGTAAGGACAAGAGGGGGTGGGGGTGGACTCTGGGAAGGTCCCCAGCAGAGTCCTCCACCTTCTTTCTCTGAACATCTTGCGTCTTCTGAGCTGGGGGGGGGAGGGGAGGGGCACAACTGATTGGGAAGGGGCAAGCCAGAGCTTTCCGGCTAGTACCTTAGTCCCTTAACCCTCAATGTTGAGGAGGTGGGGAAATGAACAAGGGAAGCTTTTAGTAGCATCTTAGGGGTTAACCACGGGAAAGAGGGCTGGGGAAGTTGGGGGGATGTCTGCGGAGGCGGCAGAAGCATGCAGGGTACCTGGGTGGGAGATGGAGGGGCTGGGAGAGACGCCAGTTGCTGCACACACAAATGTTCTTGGACATATGGACAAAAACAGATGAACAGAGAGGCATAGTGAGAGACCAGATATTCATATTCAGTCCCCTACTTCGCTCTGACCCCCAGTCAGATTCTAGGGAAAGAGGCAGCGACTGCAGAGAGAGAGAGAGAGAGAGAGAGAGAGAGAGAGAGAGAGAGAGAAGACAGCTACACTGCAGAGACAGAAACCCAGAGAGAAAACTGGGCATTGCGGAAGCAAGGGCTGCAAGGTGCCGCCAGACCCTTCACAGAGCCCCAGGGTTGGGGAGAGTGCCACTGAGAAGTAAGAAAGGCAGCCTCAAAGCCCCTGCTTGGCCCTGTCGGCGCTGTCCAGGGTTCACAAGAGCTGATATGCTCATGAAGGCCCACACAGCCCTGGCAGTGGAGAGAGAGGAGGTGTAGGAGTGTGAGGGGCAGCTGGCAGCTGGGAGTTTCTCCCCTGATCTTGGCTCTCAGCCCAGTCTGGGACCCTCTGAGCCCGTGCAGGCCCATCTGACAAGGAAGCTCTGGAAAAGATCTCTCTGGAGAAGGAAGGGATGTGGGGGAGTGGAGAGGCTCACACAATTTCACTTCCTAGGTCTGCCCCTGAAGGAGGAGGAGGCGCTGCCAGAGCCTGGAAGTGAGACCCCCACAGTGGCCTCTGAGGCCCTGGCTGAGCTGATCCATGGGGCCCTGCTGAGAAGGGGCCCAGAGATGGGCTATTTGCCGGGTGAGGCCTGAAAATGGGCAGAAATGACATAAAGGCAAAGTGAGAGACATTGGCTTGGGAAGATGGGAGCCAGGACCTAGAAAGAGAAGCAGACAAAGAGAGACTGCAGAGACCCCCCCGAAAGATGAGTGAAACTCAGAGACAGGCAGTTGAAGAAAAAGTCAAAACTTGGCATTGACAAAAGCAGAGAAATAGAAACAGGACGATTAAGAGACAGAAAAAAGACACACAGAAAGATAGATGGAATTCAGAGAACTGGAGTTAGAGAAATGGTAGAACAGAAAGAGGAAATACAAACACTAGCAGATTCCAGTAGATCCAGGATCGTAAAACCAGAGAACATTAGTAATACTAATCAGAAATAAAGAGCTCCAGAGAGCAAGACAGAGAAGAGAGAAAGGGGTAACCGAGAGAACCAGACTTGAATGGGGGACAGGGAGAAGCGCTGGGAGACTAAGGGGGGCGGGGCCTGGGTGGAGAGAGAAAGAAGGGTCAGCTGTGAAAACTTGGGAAGAGGTGGGGAGTTTGGGTGGGCAAGGTTAAGGGTGGGGGCTTTACTTTATGGTGGAGTCCCTTAGGGTTCATTACGGGAACCCCTGTTTCCCTCAGCCTTGCTCCTGCCCACCTCCCAACATCCTCCCACCCCCCACAGCACCCCACCC